TAGTTGTATTACTTTTCTGCTACATCCCACAAATTCAGACTTCATGTGTTCCTCTGTGTTAGTGTCAGGGTAATCGCCCAGTAAGAGCAGCTAAAGGTTTAAACTAGCAGTTTTTTGACTCCATAAAGGTTACAGGCTAGATGAAAAACACATCTGGCTCAGACTGATGCAGAGACACAATCTTTTAAAGAACGTCTCTTATTTAGAGACATATAGTCTATTTTGCAAGTTCTCCTGTTGCCTGTGTGCATTTTCCCAATGATCTGTCTGAAAGATGGAGAGTCAAACATTACATCCATCAGTTCTTTACCCCTTGTATCCTGATGTCCATGATTAAAATCCAGTTCTGTTTGTTAAAAAACAAAGTAATGGGAATATATCCAGCTGCTCAATGTAAGAGTTTCTTCCAAGCTAGCTTCCTGCTTGATGACATTCACAATTATAAAAATGAATCTGAGGATGTGATTGTAGGGGATGACAACAAAAGTACCGTTGTCACTATTATTTCTGGGGGGTAACTGTAATATAATAAGGAAATGTATTAGTAATTAGCCTGGACACAGTTGAATAAACAGAATTTTGTCATGTTTTTATTATTACTCTTATTATCTTATTATTGCTACCGTGATCGTTTTTCAAATTTGTATTACAGCATTTCAAGTTACATTTCCCATCTTCAGTGAAATTGTGTGTACTTGGACTGACACAGTGTTGTCTGCGTGTCAGTGATCCTGCATTATTGAACACAGCTCTGAATGTGGGCCTGGGGACACACATGAGTTGTGTGTATGTACAAGTGATAAATAAAGTTTGTGTGTCTGGGTTGATGTGGTGTGACCTGTGTGTGTGTGTGTGTGTGTGTGTGAGTGGAGCTCCATGCAGCACCATGCTCTTGTGATCACAGCGCTGTCCCGCTTGCTCCTCGCCTCTTGATTATTGGAGAATAACTTGCACTCAGCAGGGCGGATTATTGCAGAATAACTGTCTCTTTGTTGCCATTTAATACCCTCCATGACCGTGACTGTGTGCGACTCTCGCACGTTTGATACCTGCCCCGTAGCAACCATTTAAAGGAGGCCGCTGGCCTTGGCGACCGAGCGGCCCTGTGCTTCGACTCGTGCCCCCCTCCCTCGCCCTGGAGCTCAATCCACAGGCTCAGGCTGGTAATTCCCCAGCCTTACCCCAGGGGGCCTTCTTATTGGACCAGGGCTTTCCCCACAGGTCGCCTTATTGGGTGAGAGCTTTCTCATTGCCAGGGTCTCATGACTAAGCCCAGGCCAATGGGGAGTCTGTGATGAGGCTGAGTTTGTGTCTGTGTGGGGTAGTGACCCCTCGTTTTCCCCTTACCACTAAAACCAAGGAGCTTAGCACAAAAATAAACTCATTCAAGCCAAAGGGATACGAGCCTATTCATTCATAACTAAATAATGATGTCTCCATCACAGCACCACCTCTCTAACTAAAAAGAGGTCATCAATTCATAACCCTACCCTCTGAAATCCTTCACACTAGCTCTGAAAAACCAGTTCGAAAAACAAATGTGGGAAGAAAATAAAAGCTAGGTTTCCATAAAATGGACCTGACATCTGTGCATAGATCTTAAAGCCAGTAATAGCACCATGCGATGAGCTGGTGCACCGTGCAAAACAGCAGGGATTCTCAAATTGGTAGGTCACTGGCTTTTATGGGCCGCGTGTGATTACAGGATGGAGGCGTAAGCATATAATCTGTCAAAATGACTGTATCTGTTAGCAAGCAGCGGTGTGTTGTTCTGATCTGACCATCCTGTCTGTTGCTCAGCTGGGTCCGTAATGGTGAATACCTGAGTCTGGCCTCAAGCATGCCTGACTGGAAAGCGTCACATGGCAGGCTCTAGAACATAGCTGGCTGAGTCATAAGCGTCTGTCCTCAAAGGGTTGTGAGGGTGTGTACTCAGGAGAGCACACCGTCACAGGCTGGAGATATAAAAATCACAGGGTGGCGTGTGTCAGTTACTGTTAAAGTCATCAAGCACAAATCAGTGGAACTGTAGTAATGCCATACTGCATGTGGAGTAGGTTGTAAGTAGGGGTGTAGCTTGTCATGGACCTCAGTTTTGGGGTCGTGGGAGGCACATTCCCAGTAAATGGAAAACAAAGGAACAATAAAGAAATGTATGTAATTTCTGTAATTCCCTTTTACCCCATGGGGGCCTAGCATAGCTAGGGAGACTCAAGACTAGTAGCCACTGCTATTTAGGTAAAATGTGGAGGAAACGGTGTCAGGTCAGGATGTAATGTATGACACAAATTGGAGTTTAGGAAATGTAATTTTGGGTGTAATAGATACACATTTTTACAATTGTAGAATGTAATAATCACTTTACACCAACAACATTAACAAATGAAAATCATTTTTATTTTCCTTATAAGTTTTTGTCAAAGCCACAGGGAGCAACTGGAGAGGGTTTAAAGAGGTGAAGACCCTTACAGTAACAGTTATTGTGCTCACATCTCTCTAGTCATTCCAATATCCTAAGCCAGTCACCATGGCTGAAGGCTCAGCTTGGCTGTTGTATCCCCCTCAAAAAAAAAGGGCCCGGGTGTGTGGAACTAGTATAGATTCCAAAATGTAAGGTTAAGTGACCCCAGTACGTTTTAGTGCCATTAAAAGTTTGACATAAGCATTTGAGAGTTAAACAGCAGGGAGCACCAGAAGGGCAGCAGCATTATGGACCTGCTGCAGCAGTCTAGTGGCAGGTGCAGGGGCTCCAGAGAGCAGTGGTCCAGGCGGGATATGACAAGGTCCTGGGTGACGACCTGGTGTCTGCACCTAAACTGCAAGTAAAGGTCTCTTGCAGTTTAAAGACCAGGATCCATCTTCAACCTACTGTACTGTATTTAATGTAGTTGTGGGCACAGTTTTCCTGTGCTCACTTACAGTTTGAGAGGTTTATATCATCTGGATAACCTGTGGTCAACCTGTGATGGACTGACTGCTCCTGTTTCTTGACTCGTCAGATTCAGTTGCATAGATGTTGCCATGTTCCCAGATCTTCCCCATCTTACTTAAGTGAGTGTTAGTCGAGTGACTTGTAAATCACCATAGGTAAACAGCACATTACAAACATAGGTCACATGCCTGAAAGATGCAGTTGATATAAAATGCTGACAATGCCCAAGCACAGAATGACAACAGATCCAGTGTGTAACATTGAGGAGGATCCTGTCTCTGTCCTTCTGTCGTTACCTCTGTTCTCTCTCTCTCTCTCTCTTTCTGTCTCTCTCTGTCTGTCACACCCCAACTGGTTGAGGCAGATGACCACCCACCTAGAGCCAAAGGGTCTGTCCTAGGTTTCTGCCTGTTAACAGGCAGTTTTTCCTTGCCCCCGTCGCCAAGGTCTTGCTCATGGTGGTACTGTTGGGTCTCTGTAAATGTTATAAGGAGTTCGGTCTAGACCTGCTCTATTTGAAAAGTGTCCCGTGAGATTAACTTCTGTTATGAATTGGCGCTAATATCATAATCAATATTCGAATGAATCTCCGAATTGAATTGAAACTGCGAACATCGCAGTCACACAGTACCTACCGCTGTCTGACATTAGTCTCATTAGAAGCTCCGTCGAGCTCGTGATGTCCAGGCCTAGCATCCCGCTTCAGTTACGCTTCTGGTCAAAGCATGTCTGTACTGAAGGAAATCCACTCCCCCCCCCCCCCCGCCCCCCCGCCCCTCCCGTCCCCGAATGTTCAGACCGACTGCTGACTGTGTGTTGAAACCAGCCTTCAACTGCCAACTGTGACCGGCAAGGTGCTATAGGCTGGCTAATCAAACCTCTCTCTCTACAGTGACCCCAACATGCATTACCAGTGGGCTGAAGATGACTTTGATCTGCCTGATGGGGTACTGCGACTGGGCCTCTCTGAGCCAGTTAGCAGTCAAAAGTATGTCATGTATCACGGCACCACCAGGCAGAACGCTCGATCCATCCTGGCCTCAGGGTTTAGCCAGTCCGCAGACGGGATGCTCGGCCGCGGCGTCTACCTCAGCAGAGACCTGAACAAAGCTAGCCGCTACCCCATCAATCACCCTGAGTTTGACAGGGTCGTCATTAAGGTCGTGGTCAACGTGGGGAAAGTGATCGCCATCGATTGTCAACGCCACCCGCTTCAGAAGACCTGGCACAGCCATGGCTACGACACCGCCTGGGTGCCGCCCAACTGTGGGATGGTGAAGAGCGGTTTGGAGGAGAATTGTGTCTGGGATCCGAATCGAATCAAGATCCTCTGTACCATCAACCCACGTCCAGTCCAACCTTTCCTTGGGAGTGTGGTATTGGTCTGTGCACTTCTGTGTGTTTTTATATTTTTATTCTTTATTTTACATATTTGGTTAAAACAATAATGTTACACGTTAAAGTTGTCGTCTGGTGGAATGAGCATATTTTATTTATTTGTTTTCTTCCTCCTGACTCTTGTGCGTCTTATGTGGATCCTGTAAGTGAGATTAATCTTTTAAATGTTTCATATGTAACTTTTAATAAAAACCATTGTTAACTCTGTGCTATTAACTAGCTTTCCATTTACGAATCACCCCATCAGCCAACACCACGAAGCAACCGACCCCAGACCCAGTCTTGTTTTATCCATTAATAGGTCCAAAGCCCAAATATATTAAATTTACTATAACGTAAGACAAAAAACAACAGCAGAAATATCACATTCAATACGCTGTAACCTTTAAATGTTTTGTGTTTTACATCATGATTATACAACAGAAGTAAGAAAGAAAGAATTACTCAGCTGATCCCTTCTGATTGGCTGTAAGGGTGTGCATTATTCTATGGTAACATCACAGCTATAACACAAATCAGCGTCCTGAGGCCGTCTTTATGAAGCTGCACCTTCTCGTACTCTTCGGGCAGGTAAGGGAACATTTTTTTCTGCCTATTCAAAAACAATAACGTTTACAGGGAAATCATTATCTGCTGGAACACTATTCTAACAAACGTGTTTACAATCAATCACTCATTGTATTTCTTCCGATATTGTATACTGTTTGATTAGAGTCGGCAAACTGATCCTAATGCACAGGCTCAAGAAAAAGATTCAAAATGACCACAAAGAAAAACAAAAAATCTACAGAGAGATACAAAATAGTTAGAAGGAAACACAAAGTGACCACTAAGAGACACAAAACAACTACAAAGAGACACAAAGTGACCACAAAGAGACACAAAACAACTAGAACTGAAGCCTTTAGGTATAAAAAGGAGAGTTAACATAAGGTCTGCAGGGCAGCTTCCTGCCAGAGGCAACTAGGAACAAACTAGTTGTACAAAATATTCCAAAGTGTTTTTGGCAATCCCACATCTGCAGACGTGGATCTGTTTTATTGGCCTGGAAAGTCCCATGACTCCCTCCCAGATCTCCCACCCCCACCACTGCCATGACCAACCTCTGATTATAAACCCTGTCTGAGTGTAAACAGGAGTCCTTAAAAGGCAACCGAAACTGAAAGTGCACATTCCTTTCCTCCTGTGAACTCACAGCCTGCAGCAGTGGAGAGAGGAGAGGTACGTGAACACAAACTGTGTTTATTCCCTATAAAAGAATACAGTAAGTATTTTCACTGTGCATGTACGAGGAGGTAAAGTTAGTCTGATGAAGAGTTTGCTCTTGTCTGGAATATGTTGACGTGTCTGATTCAACTGGGATCTTCCTGACCGATAAAAGCAGATTTTTCTGGTGTTTGCAGACTTAAACAAACATACCTTTGAACCGCGTTTAATCCTGGTGAGAAGCTGCAGCAAATAGGTGGTTTCTCAGGGTTTTCTGTTTTTTGTGTTGCTGGATTTTGAGACTTTGGGACTTTGGGCCTTGCTTATGGTTTGCATGATGGCTGCAGAGTGAACAGGCTGTTCATGGCTGGGTAACTGTCTCTTAGTATCAGTATCAAACTGTTTACAACTACACACATTACTGTAATTAAGTCATTATTTTGGGTACTTTTTCAGTGTTTTTTCAATCCTTATTTTTGTGATATTTTCATGGTGGATATTTTCAACGGATTGGGCTTGTTACGACTGTGGGGGGAATATTGTCAAATTCGGGACAGAAAAAGGTCTAAAAATCTTGCCGACAGTCACTAAAAAACGTCCTTAAAAATACATATTGGAGAGAGAAAACTCTGATGGATCTGAAGAGTTTTACTGGAGTCAACACACAAGACTACAAACACCCTATAATATATGTTGTATAGGAGCTCCTCCTTTACTGCAATCCAATATTTTATTATTACTCCACCCTGACCTACTTTTACTCAATAGTTTCTATGTGGAGTGCCGGTCATGTTGCTGGCGCACCCCTCCCCTTGTCTTCTGCTACTTCTGGAGACTTTCCACAAAGAGGGGAGAGGAGAGTAACACTGTTATAATAAACCCTGGATAAAAGAAACAGAATTATATGTGCAAACAAAAAGGCTTTTTATTAACAATGTTAACAATGCACAGATTTTAACTTGAATGATCGATTCACTATCGACGTGAATCGATCAACAACACTTTTAAATATCCATGTACTTAGGTTTTCAGCTGAAAAAAATAGGTTTAGGGGTTTATAATGTCGCAATTTAGCTCTGTGATCAGCACGTCTTCAAATCCCACAGAGATCGATTCAGGCCACTGACTGACTAACTTCTGGCCTGGCACCACAGCGTTGATCTAGCGTGAAGTTCGATCTGGAGTCTGCATTTTGTATCTTATTTTATTTTGAAAATTAACCAGATTCTCGTTGGTGTGGGTCCGCCAGGAATAGACCAGCTGCGTATTCTGGAGGATGGCCTAGAACGGGCGTGACTGTTTTACTTTCAATAAAGCTTCTTTCTGTCTTTGTGCTAAGCTATGCTAAACAACAAACTTAACTATCTTAGTGTGTTCATGTTCTGGTCTCATTCCTGTATCTCTGATCTCCGGTGAGGCCGCAATGATGTTTAGTTGGAATCTGTCTGAAGTCTTTACACTAACAGACTCTCTCTCCTACAGTGACCCCATCATGGAGTACCAGTGGAATGAACGTGATCTTCCCTATGGGGTGGTTCGACTGGGCGCCTCTGAGCCAGTTAGTCATAGTACGTATGTCATGTACCACGGCACCAGCAGCCGCAACGCTCGATCCATCTTGGCCTCAGGATTTTGCCAGTCTGCAGACGGGATGCTCGGCCGCGGCGTCTACCTCAGCAGAGACCTGAACAAAGCTCGCTGCTATCCCGCTGGTCACCCTGAGTCTGACCAGGTCGTCATCAGGGTTAAGGTCAACGTGGGGAAAGTGATCGCCATCAATTATCAAAACCACCCGCTTCAGAAGTCCTGGCATGAGTACGGCTACGACACCGCCTGGGTGCCGCCTCTGTGTGGAATGGTGAGTTGCGGTTTGGAGGAGGATTGTGTCTGGGATCCCCGTCGAATCGAGATCATCGATACCATCAACCCACAACCAGTTGAAGACTCAGGTGGAATTCTTGCTGTAGGTCTTGCAGTGTTGTCAGGTATTGCTCTACTCGCGTTGGCTTTCGTAAAGAATTAATGAAGACACCGACTGTGTGTGGAATGGTGGAGAGCAGTTTGGAGAAAGACTGCTTCTGGGATCCTTTGTCGAATCAAGATTATTCATAGCATCAAACCACAGACAGTCCAGGACCCACTTGGAGGTGGAATTCTCTCACAGTGTTCTCAGATATTCTTGGAGAATGTTAAATCTAAATTGCACTCTGTATTTTTGAAAGCAGAGTGTTATGATTAGTATATTTTTATGTGCCAACAGGAATATTGTCACGAATGTTCTGTTTTTCTGTCGGATTACTCTCAGTGGTTACGTCTTATTACAGTCTTTTATTACTTCTTATTTTAATCATAACGTCATCATGCGTTTATCATTTATGTATGTAAGATGTAGGTCTCCATCAGAGAGTAAATACGTCTGTTATTAGTTGAGGTGGTGAGTCATTTATTCTACTTGTATTCACTTGATTTATTAGTTGCCTATCATTCATCTATGCTCTACCCATGTGTATATTATTTACCACACTATTGCTATTAGATTATAATGACTTGTTGACATCCTTTTACTTATCACATAGTATTATGATTGAAAGAGGTTCACTTGTTTATCAAGAATAAATAAGATGAGCTTCTTTTTGTGGTTGTGACCGGCTCCGTTCAGGTCGAACTAAGATGGCTGACAGAGAGCAGCATTGGTGTAACCGCAAAGCTGAATCATGTGCAAAAAACGGAAATTCAAAAATTAAGCTGAGGTTCTGAAACCATAAAAACAAGAAGAGGAGAGTACGCAAAGTTTGTGAAAGGTTCCTGATGAGAGGAGTAAAACCACAAGAGGGTAGAAAGCAGAAACTGAAACACTGATAAAGGGAAGAACTTCCCACCGCTGGCGGTTTTTGGTTTCTCTGTTTTATCCGTTTTCAGACCACAGCGGTGTTTGAGGATTGTGAGTTTTCAATCTCTTGCCTGAACAGTGAGGAACAGACAACAGTAAATATTGGATGAGTCACAAATCAGTGAACAACTGAGGTTTATTAGATTTAAATTTAGCAGATAGATAGAGGGACTGAATTTAAACAAAAATCTAACACAATTCATTTAGAAAACAAGCCGATCTTGGTTTCAATCTTTTATTTTTATTTTTTTCTATTTTTTGTAAACCAAGACTTATAATTGAGACAATAAAAACTACTTTAAACATAAATAAGAACTCTCACTTCCCTTTTTTATCCTGAGGAAGACTTTGTGTTTGTTTGAGTTCTTCAAAATGAGTTCTCAGTTGTTATGGTTTTGTCATTTTCTGTTTTATTTTGTAGATTCACTCCTCTTGTATCTGGGATCCTAATTGAATCCAGATAATTGGTACCATCAACCCACGACCAGTCCAAACCTTGTTTGTGAATGGTGCATATGGCTACATGTGCAGCTACGGTATCCTTCACTTCCTATACTGTATATAATGTAACTTTTAGTTTCCGGGTTGAAGCAAATGCGTCACACACCACCAACTATGTTTGTGTTTTCTTCTAAATAACTTAAAAGGGTCTCAGGTCAGATCTCAGCCTGGGCAGGTGGAGTGAATAATATTACAGTCTCCTTACCGTATGACAGGAGGTCATAAAACCATACCTACATTTTTTGCCACCCTTGATGTTGGACCAAATCGGCGCCAGGGGCTCATTACATTGGAAACTAAAACATATTTCTTATTATGAATAAAATGGCCCAAAGATATTATATTTAGCATAATAAAGACAAAGAAATGTCACATTGAATTATGATACAAAACTAAAAACACTCCACTGACCTTCCTTGTACAAGTAAACTATATAGTACAGGAAACCAAAGCCCTGGTGGCAGGGCAGAGAGTCTCCAGGACTATTAAGATGGGAGGGGACAGGTAACCTGCACACACGCGCACGCACACACACACACACACACTCACACACACACACACTTCGTTAAAGATTAAACAATTAAAACAAAAGTGAAACATGAATGCACATTTTTTCCTTATATAAAGCAAAGTGAACGGACAGCCTGCACTCTTGGAGCAACCTGCAGAGAGGTAAGGACTGCCTGAACACACAATATTATCAATGCTGCGTATATGAGGAGTATAGTGAGTCTGATGGAAAGCTGCTATACAACAGGAAAGTCTATGAATCTGTGCACTGCAGAATAAGGAATGTTTGTATTGACATGTGATAACATTGTAGTAAAAGTCAGCTACGGTTCCATTGCTCATGTGAATCAGGGGTCTGTGACCGAGGTTGTCGTAAAACTGTGCAGATTGTAACGTACATCTGAGGCAAATTTGTGATTTGTGTCCAAAACTAAAGAGATGACATTAGATTTCAGGATTTCTCATGTGATCATTAATTCAAATATCTTGGCACAGTAGTTGAGCACACTGTATGTGGGAAAACAAACCTCTCTCCTGTTTTATGGCGGATCCACCCACTGTTTAATGAGTTTGAGTTGTTTACTCATTTGTTCCTGCTGCAGTTGGACTTTTAAATAACTTTATGTGATGTTTGTATTTATGTTCTTTATTCACTGTCTCATCGGTTGCTGTCTGCAGATTATATTGATACTGATATACTGCTCGGTGTACAAAAAACAGGGATTATAAAGCTACCCTTAGACCCTTGAACCTTGTTTAGGAGCTATAAACTAAATGTTTCTTCCTGTTTCTAATGTTGGCGCTACATGAAACCAACGTCACATCATCCGGCAAGGTGCTGTAGGCTTATTATAATATATTGTAATGTGTTAATTTCTTAATTTTCTTGTATTGTTTTAGTGTTGAACCCAGCAAAGGATGTAAGCCCGAAGGTAGCACACACAGATTTTCAGTAAAAAGTTGACTAATCTCAATTACACCAAATTATTTTGGCCATGTCAGAAAAACAACAATTTAAGCATGAAAAAATATTTGATTTGAATATTTGATTTGAGTTGCAGACATTTATTGTTAATGAAAGGTAAATTAAATTACTTGTACTCAACATTGGAGGTTTTCTTTGCATTTCTCTAAACTTATTTAAAATGTCTGCACAGAATTTATCTGAATAAAGTAACTTAAATGCATCTTGTTACCACTTAAATTGAATTTATTCAGTTTTTTTGTTACCAGCCGAAACAGCTGATGTACGATAAAAATAATTCACAATTAATCGATTATCAAATCAGTAGCCAATCACTTTTGGGGCTTATATTCTGACCGCGATGCTAGGCTAACAGTTTCCCACTGCTTCGTCCTGTCTTTGTGCTAAGCTAGGCTAAACACAGAACTTAAAGTGGACCTTAAATATTAAACAGTCTGTTTATTTTTCAGATTTCCTTCCTGTGTTATATCCTTCTGAAGTCTTCACACTAATAAACCTCCCAGCAACAGTGACACCAACATGAGCCGGTACCAGTGGGCTGAAGATGACTTCGTCCTGCCTCCTGGGGTAGTTCGACTGGGCGCCTCTAAGCCAGTTAGTGGTCAAACGTATGTCATGTACCACGGCACCACTAGGCAGAGCGCTCAGTCCATCCTGCGCACAGGATTTCGCCCATCTGCAGGCGGGATGCTAGGCCGTGGCGTGTACCTCAGCAGAGACCTGGAGAAAGCCAGCCGCTATCCCCTCAACTGCCCTGAGTCTAACAGGGTCGTCATCAGGGTTAAGGTCAACGTGGGGAAAGTGAAAGCCATCGATTATCAACGCCACCCACTTCAGATGACCTGGCACGACCACGGATATGACACCGCCTGGGTGCCGCCCAACTGTGGGATGGTGCCAAGCGGATTAGAGGAGAATTGTGTCTGGGATCCCCGTCGAATCCAGATCATCGATACCATCAACCCACAACCAGTCGAAGACCTGTCAGGTGGAATTCTTGCTGCAGGTGTTGCAGTGTTGTCAGGTATTGCTCTAGCTGCGTTGGCTTTCGTAAAGAATTAATGACGACACCGACTATGTGTGGAATGGTGGAGAGCAGTTTGGAGGAAGATCCAGATTAGTGGTACCATCAACCCACGTCCAACCGCCAAAGACCTTTGTCCTTTAATGTAATAATTTTCATTTAATGTCACTTTTTCCACTAAAGTTCAGAGGCAAATAAACTTCTTACCAGACTACGTTGATTTGACAGTTACTTTACATTTAAGACTGCTGACAGAGCCCGGCTACCTGATTTCTCCTGTTTGTGCTAAGATAAGCTAAGCTAACCAGCTTCATATTTACTTTACACACAAGTTTTTATTACTTTTCCAAAATGTTAAACCATACCTACAATATAAAGTAAAACTTCCAATAAAAGCAGGGTCCCTAATAGACGCAGGTCTC